ATATCGTCCCCGGCGAAGGGCTCACTGACTTATTTTCGTCCAGACGATCCTGATTTCGTCCAGACGAACCATACAGCCAAACATGATTTTCTCTGCACAACCTGTACCGATCGTCCCGGACGATCCGACTTCGTCCGGACGAACCTGGAGCAAAAACTGATATTACAGGGGTTTGGTGAGCAGATCAACTAGTTGGTCCTTGGTGGGGATATGATGAATTTGAATGGTTTTGTCCTTGATACAGTTGCAGATATAGTGACAATCGACCTTGATATACTTTATTCACGTGTGAAAGACAGGATTGTTCGTCAAAGCTATAGCGGAAGTGTTGTCGCAAAATAGAGATGTGGCAGTGGGTTGTGTACAATTGAGTTCTTGGAGCAAGCGACAAATCCATGTTATTTCAGCTGCCGCAGAGGCGAGTGCCCGGTACTCCGCTTCGGTGGATGATCGAGCGAATGTGTTTTGTTTCTTGACACTCCAAGATATGAGGGAGGAGCCAATGAAATTGCAGTAGCCTGATATGGATTTCCGGTCATCGGTGTCGCCGGCCCAGTCGGAGTCGGCATAGGAGTGAAGTATATGCTTGTCGTGAAATAGCGGAAGACCAATGTGGATGGTACCTTGAATATACCATAACAGGCGTTTGAGGACTTCAAAGTGAGAGTTGGTTGGGTTTGCATGTGTTGGCAGATCTTGTTGACAGTGTATGCGATGTCCAGCCGTGTGAGAGTAAGGTATTGTAGACATCCGGCAAGTTGACGATATAAAGTTGGGTTAGAGAATGCAGCAGACAAATTGTTAGTAATTGAACTTTTTAATTGTGAAGGAGTGGAGACAGGTTTGCAATTTGACATACCTGCGCGAGATAGTATTATTTTGTGCAAATCTGTTTTGTGTTAGGTGAAGACCATATGAGGTGTGAATAGCATGTATACCTAAGAATTGCGAGAGAGAGCTGAGGTCCCGCATTGTAAACGTTGATTTTAAGTTGTCGAGCAGGTTCTTGATGGTTTTGGGACAGTTTCCGGTGAGCAGAATGTCGCCGACATAGACTAAGAAATACATTTGGATGTCGTTGTTGATGTAGAGAAGAAGGGATGGGTCGGATGAGCTGAATTTGAAGCCGAGAGTTTGAAGGTGTCCAGATAGTGTTGTGAATCATTCGCGTGGAGACTGTTTGAGGCCGTAGAGCACCTTTTTTCAGTCGGCAAACGTGGTCAGGATGAGTGCTGTTGATGAACCCGATTGGTTGTTTCATGTGAACCGTATGGCTAAGAGTTCCATGGAGGAAAGCATTTGAGATGTCTAATTGGTGGAGCGGCCATTGGTGATGTAAGGCAATTGCAATGAGAATCCGAACAATTGGCATTTTGGCGACGGGACTGAACGTTTCTGCATAGTCGAGACCGTGTTCTTGGTTGAAGTCTTGTGCGACGAGTCGGGCCTTGTATCTTGTGATGGATCCGTCGGTGAGATACTTGGTACGGAGGGTCCATTTACACCCTAGGACGTTTTGTGTGGGATCGGGAGGAACTAGGTCCCAGGTGTTTTGGGACTGAAGAGCTTGAAATTCTTGATGCATTGCGTTGCGCCAGTGTTGGAGGCACACGGCTTCTTTGTAAGTGGTCTGATTGGGATCGGAGATGGAGTGCACTAGAGTGAAAATTTTCTTTGGTTTGGAATGCCCAGTTTTAGACCTTGTTTGCATTGTGTGGGTAGGGTGAGAATTAGGTGACGTGTTGGGCATAACAGAGACATTATTGGATTGGTTTGTGCTGTAGTGGGCAGAGTTGCTGAGAGATGTGTTGAGACGTGAATTTGGCAGCAGCTGAGATGAAGTGGAAGATGTGTTGGAGGAGTTGCTGGGCAGCGGCTGGAGTGAAGCGGATTGAAGAGCCAGAGGATGAATATGGTTAGAGTGAGTGGGAACAAGAAGTAAAGGTGGAATAAAATCTGGAGATGATTGAGTGCAGTTAGCTTGTGCAGGAGGGTTATATGGGAAGATAGCTTCATTAAAAACAACATGCCTTGAGAGTTAGACTTGGCTGGTTTTAGGATTGAGGCAGCGATAACCTTTTTGTGAGGAGGCATAGCCGATGAAGATGAACAATATTGAGAGCAGGGAGAGTTTGGATGTATTGTATTGGTGAAGCCATGGGTAGCATAAGCAGCCGAAAATTTTGAGGTGATTGTATGTGGGCAGTTTTTGGTATAGAATTTGATATGGGCTTTGTATAGATTTTTATAGGGGTTTTTTTTTTTTTTTTTTTTTTTTGAGAGAACGGGAAGGCAGCCGATTTATGAGATAGACCGAGGTATTAAGTGCTTCAACCCAGAGAGATTTTGGAAGGTGAGCTTCAATTAGAAGGCTGCTCATTGTTTCTAAGATGTGCCGGTGTTTCCTTTCGGCTACGCCGTTTTGAGCTGGCGTGTGAGGGCAGGTAAAATGGTGAAGAATTCCTAGGTTCTTGAAAAGAGACTGAAATTTGCTGTTTATGAATTCTCCTCCGCCTTTGGAGCCGAAGATTTTGATGTGTTTGTTAAATTGATTATTAATCATTTTATTAAACTGTAGAATTTAACAAACACCTCAGATTTGTTAGTAAGAGGAAAAGTCCGACAAAATTTTGAGTAGTCATCAATGAACGAGACGTAGTATTTGTAGCCTTGAGCGGATGTGGTAGGGGAGGGCCCCCAAACGTCGGAGTGGACAAGTTCAAAAATTTGAGAGGTGGATGTATTAGAGATCTTGAATGGTAAACGGTGGCTCTTGGCCATATTACAAGCATTGCAGTGATTATTGTGTGTGTTGTTACAAAGTGCAGGAATGTATTTTCTAATTGCTTGGAGAGTTTGCCGTGCCGGATGACCAAGGCGACAATGCCACATGTTCGGCACTTCTTGAGCTAAAAAGAGAGCGAGATTGGAGGTAGTAGAGGACGACCAGATGGGATAAAGCCCGTTAAGGCATGGTCCCTTGAGTAGGAGGTGACCCGTCTTCGAGTCTTGAATTTGAAAACCATGAG